CCGTACTACTTTAGAACAATACTTCTTACTTTCTCTCCTCTCACCTCAACCAAATAATCTCTACTCTGCTTCTCCTTTCTGTGAACCATGACCCTTTCTAATCACATTAAACTCACTCTTAAACCTAAACCAAATAGAAATTTTTATTGTGTATGTAGTATAAGATGCTATAAAATGTGTTCTTGGGTCCTTTCAAGTAATCATGGGAGTTCCAAAAAATAATCTGCTAAAAAAGGTAAGCTTAGAGACTGAGATAAATAGGGAAGAAAAGTGGATATTCACCATTCTAGATATATTTGTACAACTCTTTTAACCACCAAAAGCATTTTCACATTTTTGGTCATTTTAGCCCCATAGAAAACCTCTGAAGTCAGGAAGAACAGTTATTATTAACATTCACACTGGAAAGGTAACGAAACTGGCATAAAGCAATGTTCCAGATTAAATAAATGGGAAAGCTAACAATGGAAACTAGAAATCACAATCTCCGATTTTAAAGTTCTAAATGCAACCACCACCCATGACAGACAAAATTAGTAACTGAGAAACTAGTAAGACAGTATTATCAGAATAGGTTATTTTGGGACAATACTACATAATCTACAAATGAATGCCCTCTTCTCAACCACAAAACAACCTGTCACAAAATGGAAGGCAAAACAAGGACCTGGTCTTACCTGGTGTCTCTGAGACAGAGATCAGAGGCAATACAAGGACTAAGCACCACGACAACCTAGTTGCCAACCCTATTGGAAGAGACTGCCTCGTCACAGTGTAATTAATGGTCACACTGTTCTAAAACTGCTGTTTTCATCTTTCCCTTTCTCACTGATTTGAAGCAAAGTATGATTAGATCAGAACTGCTAACCTCAGGAACAGCAAGTATGTCTAGTATCTAGGTCTGGTTTCAGCTCCATTTTTCGACATTTTCGATTTCTTCAAATCGTGCACTGGGCTCCAAGACTCCATTTCTACTAACTGTTTAGTCTATAGGACAAAATATGGCAAAGAGAAACTTTTTGACTTTAAAAAATTTACCTATCGTAAGTTTTCCAAACACACACACAGAGACAAAATACATGCCCATATGCATGAGAGACAAAATACATGCCCATATGCATATGTGTGTTTTACAAAATATTTCAAAGTGAAAAAAATTCACAGCATTTTAAATAATTCAAGTCTGTTTTCAAATAGTCGGTTGTATAAAGTTTCCTAAATAACAGTTGTAACTGTTAGTTCAAAATCTTAATTACCTCTAATAAACTATCAAGGCATTTTAGATTTCCCTCTCAAAACTGTGAAAGGAATGAAAAATGATAATATCATCCTTCAGAAAGAAACAATGGCAAATGGAAAAACGAGCTGATGTCACATCTCATCACATCTCATCAGTGTTATCAGTAGTTTTTTTAAATTATGATGTTTCAAGGAAATTTGTGTGTGAATACAGGTAACAAATATGAAATTCAAGGTAATTTTTCCAAATGAGATAACCTTTTAAGAGGTACAAGTGATATCAGAAGCAGAAATAAGTCTAAACAACAAGGACCTAGTATATAGCACAGGGAACTATACTCAGTATTTTCTAATAACCGACATGAGAAAAGAATTTGAAAAAGAATATATATATGTAAAACAGAATCACTCTGCTACAGACCTAAAACTAACACAACACTGTAAATCAACTATATTTCAAAGAAAATATATATATACAAATTGTATACACATAAAAGAAGTCTAAAGGCTCAGTTCAGCACGGTGGTTAAATGCACAGACTGTGAAGCCAGATACTCTCCATGTCTTGGCTTCCTCATCTGTAAGAATGAGGAAACAGTTGTACTCCTGACTCTGAGGACTGCTTCAAAAATTAAGATAATCAGTGTGAATAAAAGAAAAAGGCTGACATGCAAATATTACAAAGTAATGGCTATTGTTATGCTAAAATTTGTAAAAAAGAAAAAAAGATATCACATCAACCTACTAGAAGAGTATATAGCATATTCTGACCTCAAATACTACAGGGCTGTATACTAATTATTAAACAAATGAAAAGTCTCTATTAAAAATTCACAGAAAAGATATGAAAGTAGGGACAAATAAATGAGAAGAAGTGACTCAAACACCTTTCAAATTCACTTAATTCATTTACTCAAAATAACAAGTCATGCTGGTAATAAATAGCCCTACATTAATAAAAACATTGAAATGCTTTGTTATAACAGGAAAACAGTCACAAGTGTTTATGTGCCTATTCTATTAGTAGATGATTTCCTATCTAATGTATCAAACCTAAGTTATTAACTATATAATACCACCTCTATCTCACTCCATACATTTCAGTCTTCTGAAGGCTGGAATGGAGGTGCTTTCAAATTTTCCACTGTAAAACTGGCAGCCTTTATGAGGCAAAAATATACTTCTCTCTTTTCCTCAAGATGATAACCAAAAGAATCTGCCTCTAACCATCTAATCACTCAGCCAGCTATTCAAAAGATAGCCTTCTATGAAATAAGGCCATTTGCAGCAACATGGACGGACTCAGACCTCATCACACTAAGTCAAATCAGTCAAAAAGAAAATGAAAAATAACGTATGATAACACTTGTATGTGGAATCTAAAATATGACAAAAACAAACCTAGCTAGGAAACAGAAACAGTCCTCTAGACATAGGGAACAGATCTGTGGTTGCCAAGGGGAAAAGGGAGGGGAGGTGGAGGGTGGATGGACTGGGAGTTTGGGGTTAGCAGATGCAAACTAATGGATAAACAATAAGGTCCTACTGTACAGTACAGGCAACTATATTCAGTATTTTGTGATAAACCACAGTGAAAAAGAATATTAAAAAGGAATGTATATATATATAATGGAATCACTTTACTGTACAGCAAAAATTAACACATTGTAAATCAACTATATTTCAATAAAATAATAAATAAATAAAAGAATGAAACAGAGAGTAATATAATAACTCTTCATAATTCCAAACCAAAAAATGAAAAAGAGACAGACATAGCCTTCTAAGCTTGTTATGGTTCTGAACCCTCAAGTCAGAAATGCAATTCCTAAATTCAATGCACACAGCATCATAAACCTAGTAAGAGAGAAATACTAAAATTGCAAAGGATTACAGAAAGAGAAATATGACAATAATAAAAATATTTCTGGGACACTTAATGATTTAAAAAGTACCTCTCCATTCATTATCTCATTTAATTCTTGTATTTGAATATATACTTTTTTCCATTTTAAACTCAAGAATATTAAAGCACAGAGGCCTCTACAAGATTGTTCATATATTTTAATAAGCAGTCATAATAGGTTTATCTTTGACCGTACTTTCATCAACTACATTATAGCCCTGAAAAAAGAAAAAGGTCATGTTTTCTGTTTTCCATTTCAGGTCATGACCACTTTCCATTGTTTTGTCTCAATCAATCCTTTAACTCCCTATCTCTATAAGCTCTGTGCTTCTCTTCACCTTCCCTTATCTATCCAGGCATATCTCTAACACATATATACCATACTATACTGTGATTTACTCCTTCCTTTTCCTACTGGAGCTCTGAGTGGGATCAGAAACCATGTATTTTTGGGTCTACAGTGACTAGCACAGCACTCGTCATAAAGCAAATGCTCAGTAAACATTTAGTGAATAAGCAACTAAGTTTCCCTGCTGGCTCAGACAGTAAAGAATCCACCTGCAATGCGGGAGAACCAGGTTCAATCCCTGGGTTGGGAAGATCCCCTGGAGAAGGTGAACAGTTACCCACTGCAGTGTTCTTGCCTGGAGAATTCCATGGACAGAGCCGCCTGGCAGGCTGCAGTCCATGAGGTCCTTAGAGTTGGACACAACTGAGTGACTTTTCAGATGAGAAATAAACATACACAATATTAACTGGAAAAGGTGAAAAGTTGATAAAAAAAAAATGAATGACTTAAGGGCCAACTAAAAGCTGGCTTAAAACTCAATATTCAAAAAACTAAGATCATGGCATCTGGTCCCATCACTTCATGGCAAAGAGAAGGGGAAAAAGTGGAAGAAGTGACAGATTTTATTTTACTAGGCTCCAAAATCACTGAGGATGATGACTGCAGCCATGAAATTTAAAAATGCTTGGCTCCTTGGAAAAAAGCTATAATAAACCTAGACAGTGCATTAAAAAGACGAGACATCACTTCGCTGACAAAGGTCCTTCTAGTCAAAGCTATGGTTTTTCCAGTAGTCATGTACGGATGTGACAGTTGAACCATAAAGAAGGCTGAGCGCTAGAGAATTGATGCTTTTGAACTGTGGTGCTGGAGAAGACTCTTTGAGAGCCCCCTAGACTGCAAGGAGATCCAACCAGTCAATCCTAAAGGAAATCAACCCTGAATATTAATTGGAAGGACTGATGCTGAAGTTGAAGCTCCCATACTTGGCCACCTGATGCTAACAGCTGATTCACTGGAAAAGACCCGGATGCTGGGAAAGACTGAGGGCAGGAGGAGAAGTGGGTGAGGTGACAGATGAGATGGTTGGATGGCATCACTGACTCAATGGACATGAGTTTGAGCAAATTCCAGAAGATAGTGAAGGACAGGGAAGCCCGGCATGCTGTAGTACATGGGGTCGCAAAGAGTCAGACATGATAACAAAAAATGAAAAAAGTCACTAAAAGAAACTTCAGATCACTTAGTTCTAATCTTAAAGGGTACTACTTTCTTTTTTACACCAAAACTAATATTTTACTTCATGGAAATATATATAAAATTATGATAATATCATATTTAAGTTATATACTCCTTTTAATATTTTTAGTGCCATTTGGCAAAAAAGCATAAAGAATATGATAAACATTCTAATTTCCAATACACAGCCTAAGAAATAAAATCTTACCAATAGTTTTAATTTTTATATTACCTGTTTCTCAGCTTTTTGTCTATTTTAGGGTCAAACCAAAGACAATTTCAAATGTGTGGTAATTAAAGAAATAATGCTTTGTTTCTATAACTCACTTTTCGGTCTTGAAGAATATTGCACAACCGTCCACATGCTTTCTCTCCTGCTCAGACATGATTTTGGCACGTGACTTTGGAGAAAAAAATCCATCATATCCACGCTCCTTCAATGCTGGCAGAAAGAGAGTGAAGTATTGCTCTGTTTCCACTTCCTGAGATGGAAGATACATTATCACCAACATGACAGAGGAAAACTAAGATGTAAAACTGTGCAACACTGTGAGTAAAGTGTAACTAAGTTAGAATACTTCATTTAACAAACATTATCTAACTACCTTACCTTATTGATAGCAGCTACCATTTGACAATGGCAGCTCTGTAAAGCCTAAAAGAACAAAAAAATAACATGATTCTCTCAGGTTTACACAGGTAGTCAGTTGGTCCCAAATCTCCTGACTTCCAATTAAGAGTTCATCAGGGAAGCCTGACACGCTGCAGTCCATGCAGTCACAAAGAGTGGGACACGACTTAGTGACTGAACAACAAATACTGTACTTCACTTCCTCAACTGGTAACTGAACAAAATTGAAATACAAAATATGAAAGTTGGTCATATTACAGATTAAGCAGTAGGGAACTGAAAATTTTATATTAGGAGGTAATTAAAAAAATATTTTGTATTTCTCAACTGTGGTGGAAAGGAATGATAGTCAAAACTGAGAAGTTTAAGATCTATCAACAAAAATCCTACTTAAAGGAACTTTTAGCTACCTGAATACCAATAATCCAATGGTCTGTGTTAATTTGGCAATTATTAAGTTAGACTAATTTATTACTTGACCAATAATATACTTTTAAGAAATCTTTCCAAATGAAATAATCAAGTGTGAAGATAAGGATTTATGTGTGCTAATGTTTATAACAACATGATATTGTAAAAATGAAAATTAAGAAATCTTTCCAAATGAAATAATCAAGTGTGAAGATAAGGATTTATGTGTGCTAATGTTTATAACAACATGATATTGTAAAAATGAAAACAAACCTCCAACAGCAGGGAAAATGCTAAATCAATTAGTATGTATTCATACAACTGGCTTTGAAAAATTTTAGTAATGCAGAAAATGTATATTAAATGCAATAAGAAACAAAATATATTAATAGTGTGATCTCTATTTTGAAAACATACCTGTAAATAAATAGGCAAGTGAATGCTTTAAAAAGAATATAATAAATACTCCAGAAGTTTTAACCCTGGAGTTTAAGCAACTTTCTTTGGGGTACAGGATCAGATGTTTTATTCTATTATTATTTATATTCTTTTCGTATTTCCAACTTCTCTGAAATGAACACTTTATAACATAGTGTTACTTTTATAATAACATTTTTTAAATTATGATGCTTCTTGGCTCAGAGGTTAAAGCGTCTGCCTCCAATGCGGGAGAGACCCGGGTTCGATCCCTGGGTTGGGAAAATCCCCTGGAGAAGGAAATGGTAACCCATTCCAGTATTCTTGCCTGGAGAATCCCATGGACGGAGGAGCCTGGCAGGCTACAGTCCACGGGGTGGCAAAGAGTCGGACATGACTGAGCGACTTCACTCTCACATGCTTCATACTATACTTTACTTACTAAGGAAGAGTGTGAGGCTGTTATTACTATAAATACTGAATCAAAGGAGGAAAATTAAATAACATAAGCCTATGCTTATTTGTCTCCATGTGTGCTAAGTAGCTTCAGTTGTGTCAGACTCTTGGCAACCCTATGGACTGTAGCCCACCAGGCTCCTCTGTCCACAGCATTCTCCAAGCAAGAATACTGGAGTAGGTTGCCATTCCCTCCTCCAGGGGACCTTCCTGACCCACAGATCGAACCCGTGTCTCATGTCTCCTGCACTGGCATTTGGGTTCTTTACCACTAGCACCACCTCGTAAGCCCGTATTTGCCTCCTCCTCCCCTCATTTTGTATCAGTTCTCAGTGTTTAAAAGAAAATTTCACTTTTCAAGACTTCTACTACTATTTTATTTTCCAGAGTCAAATGAATCATGGATAATAACACAAATATAAGTAAATAATAAAGCTACTCTAACACAAACAAATTTATTATAAAAGTAATGACTTTATTCTTAAGTTATACAGAAAAGGAGGTGTGAAATTATGACACTTAAAATTTTAAAATACCTTAAAGCATTTAATATGCCTTGAAAACTGCTAAGAAAAGAAGTACTAAAAACTATCTGTAAACCTTCTTGGCCATTCATTAGCTGAGGACTGAAAAGCAGTAAAACACATATTTTAATCAAAAGGTGCTTTAATCAGTTAAATTCAATAAAGTATCTAGATTTCTGAGGTTGCTTTTAAAAATAAGGCAAAAATGCATGATTTATAGTACAATATTTTTATATGTTTATCACTGAGGAACAATAGTAGACAAGTAATTTTGTTTTACAGATCCCATTATAAGTTAAATTTATATTTCTTAAAGATTCAATCTTCAGTAGTTTTCTCTTTCGGCAATACCAATGATTTTTTCATAACACAAATTAACATGAATAATGTGGTGAAATTATTTTCACTTAAGAAAACAATAAATGAGTATAAGTTTATGGCTTATACAAAACCGTTTCACTGTGAAAATATTTAAGAAAATAATTCCTTTGGGTTTTCCTTCAAACACAGAATCTCTCCCAAAAGTAAGATCTTTTGTAATTTTTAGATTCACCTTTAAGTTACAGACAATTCAATCTCTATAGTGTTACCTGAAGACTAATGATATCTGCGTCACAGTTAACAATTTCTTCCATAATTCCCTTTTTCCTGTATTCCCAGTTTAATGCCCAGGATGGGCAATAGCCATATAGCTGCCGGGTGGCATATTTATCACATAACACATTGTAACACATAACCGTGAATGATGCTAAGAAGTGGGAGAAAAAAACAAGACAAAAGGGAGAAAATTAGGCAACCTTTTCTAAAGCAATATCACATGTACACCTACACGATCATACATGCCACACAAACATAACTCAAATATTACCACTGTGAAACACCATGGGCAAGATTCTGTTAAACTATATAAAAACTTCACCAGAGTCCATCCACCATACCAAAGTTCTTTTACCAGAATCAGACTTACAGCTCCTATTTGAGATTTTTTAAAAGGATATTTTAATAAATAAAAATTCAAGTTTTAGGGAATTCCCTGGTGGCTCAGTGGTTAGGACTCTGCACTTCCACTGTTGGGAACATAGGTTCAATCCCTGGTCAGGTAACTAAGATCCTGGCAGTCATGCGGTGTGGCCAAAAATAATCTAATTTTAAATCAATACTAACTTTTTTACACATAATTTTCTGAGCAAAACTTTTCTCTATAAATGGAATAAAAGTAAACTACAAAAGTAAATTTTAATTTTCTTCTCTTTAAAAGGCTTTCATTACCTTTCATTAACAAAATATTCACAGTTAGTACTTTTTTGAGTCTCATTTCTCTCACTGCTCTGAGCCAGAAGAACACAGACTAACAAAGTTCAGTTATAAGAGAAACCTTTTTAACCAAATCAAACACTCATTTTTAAAATTAAATTCTCATTTTAAAATTCCCCTGAACTGTAAAAGGACTGTGTGCATGCTCAGTTGCTAAGTCATGTCCGACTCTTTGTGACCCCATGGACTGTAGCCCGCCAAGCTCCTCTGTCCATGGGATTTCCCAGGCAAGAACACTGCAGTGGGTTGCAATTTCCTACTCCAGAGGATCGTCCTGTCCCATGGATCGAACCCTCACCTCCTGCATTGGCAGGTAGGTTCTTCACCACTGAGCCACCAAGGAAGCCAGTGAAAGGACTACAAGTAAACTAACAGGAAAACAGCTTCTATCTCCTGCTACTCAGAAGTGTGCTCTAGGAGCCAGCAGCATCAGTTATCACCTTGTAACTCAGAAATGCAGAAATTTCTGGCTTCACAAAGACTTACTGAATTGCAATCTGCAATTTTAACAAAATCCTAAGGTGATTCTATGCACAAGCACACCAGTTTGAAAATCCCTGATTTCTATCACTAATTCTCTATCCTAGCTATCCATTAGAATCACATTATAGAACTTTAAAAAAAAAAAATGTTGATCACTCCAGACTAATTTAGTATGTTAGGATTTGGGCATTAATATTTTTAAAAAGCATCCCAGGTAATCACAATGAGCAGACATGGGTGGGTGAGAATCAAATACTTAATAAAGGGTAAGGAATACAAGAAATGAAGTAGCGCTCAACTGAAGTTGACTCAGAGCCAGATGATGGGAAGATATTATGAGAAACTTAGTTCAGAGGCCTCCTGGGGATCTGACTGGTGGTCATTATGTATACTGGTACCTCTTTCACCATCTAGGATTAATTCTTACATAGTTTAATCACCATTATAATTTTGGGGCTATAAATCACCCTTTAACAATTGAACGTCCCTAAAATTAAGTATCAGCATTTGGTTACTTCATATTAAAACAGTAAAATTTTCATCTTCAAAATAAAATTAGGTATCATAAAAATTATTACTTATAAGAGGAATATTAATAACAACTTATTTTAAGCAGAAATCCAAATTATAAAATGTCTAATAAACAGAAAGAAGCCCTATAAATGTCAAATTATCACTGGTCTGCACAAAAAGATAAAGGTTTATATTTTCTACATTTACTGCAGTTCAAGAAATGCTGAATCATATAATTAAACTGCTCATATCTTCACCCCATACCATTTCTATACCCCTGGCTTGGTATCATATTCTGTTTCCAATATAGTAAATTTGACTCAGTCTAAATTATCCCTCTACAAGTTATTAGTCTACCCACTAAAGAAAGATAAATCTAAGTAGCTTAAAATTTTCCAGAAGAAAATTCATTACTCCTCATTTTTCTTAAATCACCAAACCTTATGTGAAAATGCCATTTGGAAAGCTCTATTACAGTAAGTAATTTTCAAACCAAGAGCCCCATCACTGTGAAAGATATGAGATTCTTGTACTTAAGCCTTAGGGTAGACTTTAACTCTACCCATCAGTATTTCTAAACTCATCTACTCAGGGGAGGTAAAATGAAGGCCTAATTTGAAGGTTAATTTCATCACAAAGCCCAAATGGCATTTCAAATGTATCTGAAAAAAGTCAAGAAAGAATAAGAGAAACTATTTTACCTGATGGCAGAATTTGGTCTCGTTCTTTTAATGTAATCCATGGCCTCGGAGGAAGCTGCTCCGGATGAACTGGAAAAAAAACATTTTAAAAAAATGTAATTTCCTATATTTCTAAAATCAGTATTATTTATTAATTTATAATGTCAAATCAGCTTCTGTTCTCTCTTCAACTATAACAGCCCATGTGTGTATGTGCGAAGTCACTTCAGTCCTTCCAATTCTTTGTGACCCCATGGACTGCAGCCCGCCAGGCTCCTCTGTCCATGGGATTCTCCAGGCAAGAACACTGGAGTGGGTTGCCACGCCCTCCTCCAGGGACGTTTCTGACCCAGGGACTGAACCGCTGTCTCTTATGTCTCCTGCACTGCAGCGGGTTCTTTACCACTAGTGCCACCTGGGAAATCCATATGGTCTTAAAAATCTAGTACTGAAATATAAGCAAGATTTAAAAGCTGAAGGAAGTTGATGAAGAGTTATGCAGAAAACACGAAACTAACATCTGAAAAGAACACGAAGAAATTCATTAATGGCATTTATACTTTCAAGGCATTTATTTTTAAAAGTGCCTATTTAAATCCTTAAGTAAGAGGCTTATGTCTTAATTATACAAGTAAACTACTCAGTCTTGTTCCCAGCAGGAAAATGAAAGCTACGTGAAGTTTCAACACACTGATGAACAAAATTACTCAGATATTTTTAAAACAGAAAAAAACAAACATGCATGTATAATTAAAACTACTGAATTTTCTAATAGGGCTTTCATTTCCTAATTTTAATCCTTCTTTTATAATGTTGATACAAAGCCAGAGATTAGAATGGCATTGTACATATAGAAAAAAGGGAAGGCACTGGTTAAACATTAATTGCTCAGATATGATTGTCAAGATTATGGAACTAAATTCTATCAAACTATCAGATGAAAGAAAATGCACTAAGATTTAACTACCTCTTTTTTCTTCTCCCTTTTAAACACAATTGCAATTACAGGACAGTTTGATTCAAGTTTGCAGATTTACCCAGTGAATTAGTGGCTAAGAAATGTATTGCATTTAAGCAGAAACACTCCATCATCACCCAGCCACAGAAATTCTGAACCAAGTATCCAAGATCTTTAAAAAAAAGTGTCATTTTACTAACCATTTTAGTGTTCCAAAAGTCTAGCTAAAGGGTGTCTCTTTTAGCAGCCATACTGTTCACACAAAGTGAAATGAATGTTATTTTGCATAGTCTGTATCTTGCCAGGAAAGTAATGAAGGTCATCATAAGATAACAAACCATCCAGCTGGTTCAACACACACTGAATCCTGGAAAATAACCATGCCTCCTAGGAGTGCCGTGCCAGAACTATGGCAACTCTCTCTAAAACAGAAGCTCATTATATAAATATAATGGAGAGTAAACAAAGAACTCCTCAGCTGCTGGAATCCTTATTAGCAAATAGTTAAAAACTCAGAAAGCATGAAAATTATCAAAATAAAACAAAGCGATGTCAACATTCTGACGCTTCCTATATCTTAATACAGCACAATTTAACAGTGTAAATAAAACATATACTATTCCCCCAAAATAATTGAAGAACAAAAACAGGGAAAAGATACTGTATCTCACCAGTAACCAGAAGAAACTTAAAAATGAGATAGCATTTATCTAGGTTGACAAAAAAAAATTTAAGTTTAATAATATGGTGAAGGTGATAAGAAATAGATATTTGCACATACAACTGGTGGGAATACAAACTGGTACAGCTATCTGGATAGGCAAATGGGCATCTTTTAAAATTTAAAACATTCATGTCCCTGTGACCCAGCAATTCTATTTCTTGGGATCAGCCCTATCTGCTTAAAGCAGCAAACGTATTCATTATGCCAATGTTTATAATAGCATAAGCAGTGGTAAATGTTCATCCATTTCACATTAGTCTATGCCATAGTTTAAAAGAAAAAAGATACATGCATGCTAAAGTGGAAAGGTATGTAAGAAATTCTGCTGGGTGAGGAAAAAGTAGAAAATATATAATAATAAGATATATTTTATTAATAATTAGATAATATATTATGGTAGGATATATTTTATTAGAAAAAATTTAAAACATATATGCAAAGTAATACAATGCAAGAAAATTTCTACTGGTTTAATTTTTATATATAAATGTCTATAAGGATACACACCCAACTTATAAGTGTGCTTACTTACACAGAAGGGACTGGAATTAAAGGCAGTGGTCAAAGGAAATTCTAGTTTTAACCAGAATTTTAATATTTCTTTCAAAGAGAATAATATATTCATGTGTGACATATATTTACTTAACATTGACTTTTTTCAAAGATAAAACTGCATGGCCAATGATCTGACAAAGGATCAGTCAGTTTAGTCGCTCAGTCATATCCGACTCTCTGCGACCCTGTGGACTGCAGCACACCAGGCTTCCCTATCCATCACCAACTCCCGGAGCTTACTCAAACTCCAAAGGATAGGACTATATTTATATAAGCTAACCATTAAATAAAGACTGTTTAACAGCTAAATCTGTATGGGCCTAGCCAAGTATCATAACGTAGATAAAAATTGAAGACTACTCTCATTATGAACAGAAGAAACACCAGTTAACATCTTTCAACATCATACCTAAAAATGTGATCTAAAACAATTCTCCCACTTTTATCTTCCATACATGCCACACTAAATGCTAGCCAGTCCTGAAGCCATGAGGAATAGACCTGGAGGAGGACTGGGGGAGTGGGTAAGAGAAGTGTGATTTCCCACACCTCACAGTGATCAACAGCACTAGGCCTGGTCTCCCACAGTGAGGGTGCCGGCTGAGCCTGAAGAGCCAAAAAAACCCACATGCTAAGCCTAAACTGGGCAGCTGCCTGCTGCTGAGGTTTTTAAAAGGTCATGAGTTTCCTAACATACTATTAAAAATATCCAAGACACAAGTGAAAATCACTGGTCATACCGAAGACCAGGAAAATCACAATTTATTTGAGAAAAGACTACCAACAGACAATAACACAGAGGTGATTCAGCTGTTGAAATTATCTGACAGAAATTTTAAAGCAGTCAACATAAAACTGCTTCATACAGTAATTACCAATTCTCTTGAAACAGATGAAAAATAGAAAACCCCAGTAAAAAAGTGGAAAGTGAAAGTAGCTCAGTTGTGTCAACTCTTTGTGACCCCACTGACTATAAAGCTCATGGAATTCTCCAGGCCAGAATACTGGAGTGGGTAGCCGTTTCCGTCTTCAGGGAATTGTCCCAACCCAGGGATTGAACCCAGGTCTCCCACATTGCAGGCAGCTTCTCTACCAGCTGAGCCACCAGGGAAGCCCACAATAGAAGTGGCAGGGCAAAATAATACAGATAGCCAAACATAACATTATTGAATTTGAGAACAAATCAAGAGAATTTACTCAATATGAACAATAAAAAGAAAACTGAAAAAAAAAAAAAAAGAACAAAGCTGAGGAACCTGTGCATTCCTCAAAAGATCTAAGATTTATAAAATCAAAGTTCTGAAAGAAAAGAAACAGAATGTAGACTTAAAAAGTATTCAAAGAGATAATGACTAAAAATCCCCAAATTTAACAAACCACATAAATATACACATTCAAGATGTACAAACTTCAAGTAAAATAAACCCAAAGAAACCCACACCGATCACATCATAATGAAACTGCTAAAGACTAAAGACAAAGAATCTCAAAAACACCAGAAAAATGACATTATCTAAAAGGGAACAATAGGTTTCTTTCTAAAACCATGGTGCCAGAGGAAGTGACACAATATTTTTTCAAGTGCTAAAAGAAAACTGTCAACCTCAAATTCTGTGGCCAACAGAACTTTCCTTCATAAATCAAGGAAAAATAAAGATGTTATCAAAGGAAAACTAAAAGACTTCGTTGCTAGCAGACTGGCCCTTAAAGAATGGCTAAAGGAAGCTCTTAAGACAGAAAGAAAATGTTAACAGTAGAAGAAATGGAACATCAAAATGGAAGGAACAAGGAATGAGTGAAAGGATAAACATAACAGATTAATCTTCTCCTCATGAGCTTCTTATATCGTATCTGACGGCTGAGGCAAAAATTGAAACATCTGTGTGGTACTCAGTGTAAGTAGAGAACATACTAGAGGCAGTTATAGTTTAAAAGTGGAGAAGGCAAAGGGACACAAATAGAAGTAGGGCGTCAATAACTGGCTTAAAATGAGAAGACACTATTATCAACAGTCTGTTCTAAGTATGTATATTGTGATATCTAAAAAGTCATCATTAAGAAAACTATACAAGACAGTATACTCTAAAGCAGCATAAATAAAACAAGATGGTATCCTAAAAAACATTTAAGTAGCCCATAAGAAACCAAGAAATGATTGATAAAGGAGAAACAAAGGAAACAGACTACAAAAAATAAAACGGCTGATTTCAAATTCTACATATCAATTCTTACTTTAAATGTAAATGGTCTAATAAATACACAAACTAAATGAGTGGAATCTTGGTCAAACAGATTAAAAAAAAATAACATGTAACTCAAATATGCACAATACAAGAAACTCACTTCAAATACAACAACATAGTGAAGTTGAAACTAACAGGATGTAAATATTAAACAAACAAAAAAGGCAGAGTGATTATATTAATATGAGATAAAGTAGACTTGAGAGTAAAGAAGATACTAGGAACAAAGTCACTCTCTCTCTTTAGTTGCTAAATCATGTCCGACTCTTGTGACCCCATGGACTGTGTAGCCTGCCAGGCTCCTCTCCTTGGGATTCTCCAGGCAAGAATACTGGAGTGGGTTGCCATTTCCTTCTCCAAAGAGGGTCATTACACAGTGATAAAAAGATCACCAAGAAGATGCAGCAATCCTAAGTATGTATACAACAAACAACACAACTTCAAAATACATGAAGCCAAAACTGACAAAGCTGAAAGAACAGACAAATTCACAACTGTGGTTGGCGATTTCAGCACTATAATGTCAACATCTGGTAAGACTACTAGATAGAAAATTACAAAACAAACAAAAAAGAAGAATTAACCACCAGCAGCAACCAACATGATCTAT